TTGATTACATTTTGACCAATCAGCGATGGTGTTTATCAACACCCAATCGGAGTATAGATAAAATACCGACATATGTACCCCTTTTATACAATATACCCCCCTGATCCAAGTACCCCGGGTACTAAAACGAGCTAGGGAAATACCCCGGGTACACATGTCGGATAAATACGGTACACGTTTTCACATGAACTAAACACACTTGGACAAGTATATTTTGTTCAAATGAAAATTTAATAATATTGAACGTGTCGACATTTATATTGTTAAAATTATCGTAGAACAAAGTATCATATATCTTTTATATATTAGAAATTTATGTTACTGAAACTTATGCAAAAATTACATGAAATGTAAGATTGTAAACTGTAATTTTCAACCCTAGTGCCAGTGCACTAGTTAACAGTTAACTGTTAATATAAAAGTTGCGTACTGTACAATTTTGTAATTGGATTGTATCTAATCGAATCGGCCAAAGCATTATTCGGCCAATTTTTATCAGGTGTTCCAGGAATTATGAAAATAGCTGTAAACTATAAAAAGCGACATAAAAAAAAAAAATTTTTTTTTGAAATCTTGAAGACGACTTTTGATCTCGTTATCATACTTTTATAGTGTTTCGATTCGTAATCCGACTAAATCCGATAATTCTGATTGAATTCGGATATCCGTATCCGTTAATTTTGACTAAGGTTTATCCGGATCAAAATCCTAGATATCTTTCATGTGATTGGTCAATTTGAGCAGCGACATCCGTATTTAATTGAATCCGGATTTATCCAGATTCGGATTATCATCTGAATACTCACACACAGTAGCGGTAAGAATAGGATCGAAACACTACTTTTTTTATTTCAGTGCACTCATCTACCAATCACAATTCATACAAGTGATTTTTATGAAACATATACATACATGAATCCGCGTTTCGATGCTTTTTATAAAAGTGATATTTAAGGAAAATAATCATTCTATTTTCGGTAATTCAAATAGTCACGTTAACAAATTCACTTACCTGTGTTTCAGTGTTTTAAAAGATTGTCTGTTAATATTATTAGAGATGGTTAGTGTTATTATTTAAGAAAATAAATCAGATCATGAATTTTCAAAATGTTTTTCTTCGATATTTTAAAAAAAGAATCACCACTACCGTTAAGGTGGTGTCGAGTTTTAACAATAATTATTTTTTCATGTGCATTATGTACCTCTTTCATGATACTAATTGCAAAGTTGGTCGATGAAGTGCCTGCTATTAAAGTAACTTATGAATACAAGGAGTCTATTCCAGCACCAAGTATGATTAACTTTCTTGTTAAAAAAAATTTATATCGATATATGTTTTTCAAATTAACACAAAAAATATTATAGATATTTTTTATCGAGGTGTAATTAACGGCTGTGAAGTATTTAGAGATAATCTTAGTTATGATAGTGATGGAATGTGTCCGAAATATTTAACATCTAACTTATCACTTGCTGAAGATGTTCGCAAAAATGTTGAACGAATTTCTCAATCTGAGATGGATACATAATGGATCCATATCTCTCAAAGAAGGCGATGCGATTCGTCTTTACCTTACTATTAATAGCACGATACTTAACAGTATAATGCTAGTTGATTCTGAATACTTAAATTACTCTGATCAACCTTTGTATATTGATTCACTCAGTCTTCAAAATATATATTTCATGAGTCATAACATCAATGTATATAATTTTGATTTATATATTATTATTTCTGAAAAAACATTTAATAACATTTTATTTTTAAAATGTTAGGCTAGCCTTTATAATTTTAATAGATTTAAAAGACAATTAATGGATAAGACATTATTCACACAACTTGGATTCTCGCCAACCTACAAAACATATTATTATGTTACTACGGATCCAGGTAAGGAAAAAGATATATGATACTTTGTTCTACGATAATTTTAACAATATAAATGTCGACACGTTCAATATTATTAAATTTTCA